GACATAGCATAAATAGCATCTCTATGGGTATTTCTATAGAGAAGATATTACATTAACAACACCGCTATGGATATTATTTTAGAAAAGACGATGGTGATGGACATGATAAAAGCGGCCATGGGATCTAAGGAGACTTACTACAGACATGACTACAACCCCGAATTTATGGATGAGCAGAGAACTATCCTGCCCCCTATCGGCGAAGGTCAGAAACAAACTATGCCTGGGGATATGGAGAGGACAATTGACAGGTATGTAATATGGTGATTTGTGTCAGGGTTGTTTCTCTAACAAACATTTATTAGGCCTGAAACGTTCATTTTGTGTGTGGATCATCCTCTAGACAGTGGGTGTGCAAATACTTCATTTACAAAATTTATATAAGTGACTTTGAATACAATTCTTTACTTTACTTGACACAAACACATTAGGGTAGGCTATCGTAAAACTATACCAGTAGTTTGACAAAAATCAAAAATTAAATAAATAAATAAAATTTAAAGATTTTTAGCCTAACCTTATTATTCAAAATGAACTTATTTAGATCAGTGTATGCTCTTTTTGCAGCTTCAGCGTTGATCATCATTTAACAGACGATTTTTAATATACATATGTACACGTTTCTTAGTGTGGCATTACTACTGTTGGGTAACGAGGCCCTTCCTCCATCTGCTATATATCCGTGTACGTTGTGTGTTACAGGCTCATCCTGGAGGATCACGGAGTCCCGGGGGAGCCACAGATGCAGTCCATGGGGCCTAAGGCTCCACCCAAACCCGTCATTACTGATCAGGATGGTGGGTACTACGTCACACACACCCTTAACATTTAATGAAACATACTAACACACGACTGAATTACAAATCAAAGCAATTGTTTGGATAGAAGTAGGTTCTCTGTAGTGTTGTAGATGATTAACATCTTGTGTGAAACGTTAATGGTAAAACTGAACTACCTTTATTATATCCTAACAATATTTTAGGGGCTTACTTTATAAATTGGTGTAAATAGTTGTTTTGAGGTAAGTTCATATTTTTAAAATTACGAAAATCGTTGCAAAATACGGTCTGCCAGTAAATCATTTTAAAAACAATTTTGGAAAATGCTTTTATATTATTCGTAACAAGATTAATCAGAATTACTAATTTGAACATGCATGTCATAGTCCGTATACAATTTAGTATTTTATATAGGAGTATGGTGTAATTTGTTTCCGACCAGTCATATTTAGCGGCTGAATATGAAATATTATTGAAAATTAGATCAATTCGTGATTTGATATAAGCAGATTACAATTGAACGATTGTCTTGATTAGAAGCGTGAGTAAATGACAGTGTTAACCTGTGTTTTGGCCTCTAACATGTAACACATGTTCAGACTGTAGTCTTGCTGGTTTTCCAGAGTTTGAGTTCCTCCCGGAAGTGCTAGGTTTCCAGGAGGTAGGAGGTATACAATGATTGTGCTGCTTATATGTCGCTTATTATGTCTCCACACAACAGTCAGAACAAGCAGCACCCCTGTTTCTGTGATTTGCGTTATCAACATCGGTTTATCATAAATCGCACTGAAACGTTTGACATGAACAAAGCAGCACTAGTAATTTGATTTGAAACAATTTACGTAATTAAGCACAGGTGGCCTTCCCAACAATGTGTGTTAATCATTAAATCACAAACACAGCACCAATTATATGGTTTCCAAGGAGAGATCGGTACCTACTCCAAAACGGGTCACTCTTTACAAAATACTTTTAAATCCACAGTTAATATTGTAGCTGACATAGCCTTAGTATGCAAAGTCCTGGTCTAGCTATATTCATTTTTTGCTAAGAGCTTATTAATTAAAGATTTAATTCTACAAATGATATTCCCTGCATCCCACGGGACACCTGAAATATTTCACGGAAATTCAAGCGAGCCATTCACCACTGATCACTCCACTACATCTGTTTAACACGGCGTCTTACACTACACTACACATGGTATCACCAGACTGTTCTTAACATTAGATCCGTTAGTGTTTGAGTGAGATCCGCCTCGAATACCGCTGATTTATCACGTAATATCATAGGATACTACAAAATAAGGAACTATACAGACACTTTACGCTATGGAATGTGTTTGTATCACTACACCTCACCATTGGTTTATACTCACCTGTTTTGCCACATATGTGCAAGTAAAAGCCTATCACGTGATGTGACACATACCTTTTGACTTTCGTAGTGTTTTGCTGAAGAGTTGTGTTGCTTATAATCCGAAAATTTGAACATGTAATTTTATTTCATTTGTATAACAAAACTAAATAACTTTAAATAAATCAGAGGCATAACAGCTTACCTTCAGCTAAGGTGGTGGCGTAATATCAAATATATACATATATCTGAAACTATGATTAATACAGGCGGTAATTACTGTACATGTATGGGTACGAGAATATACTATTTAACAGGTTTTTAACTGAAAAGGGATTGCTTTCGTCGGAACTTATTTCAAATGATGTGGGATCTGTGTCATACAAAATACAAAAACTGTGAACAATATTACAATTTCACTAATTTTCATATATTTCTATTTTTATGTGTTTTAGCATCTCATTCTTAATTATCAATCTGCTCATGCAAAAACGTTTCCAACCATTAGGTCAGGTATTTAGGCTTACTTAAAAGATTTTGTATAAACAGTTCTACTGTATTTTTACCAATTTATGTTTATAAAGTCAGTTTCTCTCTAATCGCTATTTATATTGATTTCGATATAAAATCTTAAATCCCAATCTTTGGTGAACCTGTGATATTTCTATTGTTTTCGACACCTTCATATTGTAATTTGTTGTAACTCTGTTAGTTACGCCATCTTTTAATGTGTAAAACGATATCTTTCGAATTAGTGTAATGAACAAATTCCCTTTTATGATATTTATAATTGCTTCCTTTCCACGTTTGATTCAATAAAGTCAAGTGATGGTTCTCCTAACAGCGAGTTTAAGGGGTTTGATTGTGTGTGATGAAAGGCAGTGTTTGGAATAGATAAATATACATGTAAAGTTACGTTTGTATCGCGTATATGTAAGTAACGTTTCCTTTGCATTGTTCTTGCCAAAATAGTTAACGTTGCCTTTTTATCTTGTCCTCATAAATACCTTTGCATCTATCTTGTCTATATATATAACATTTCGTGATAATTTTTATTCCTATTCAAATGTAACTTTGTAGATATTTTGTCTATACTGCGTTTCGTTTCGTTTGTAGAACTTACGACCAATATCCGTCCACCAGTAAGCGAAGCATTCAAGAAACAATTCTCACGCCCGCCGACAAATGCCGGAAGACGGTCCCCAATCAAGACCGAGGCTCCACCTGCCCCAGGAACCTCGTTCCGGTTTACCACATCCGCGCAGGGCAAAAGGGAAGATGCTGCAGCTAACCAATCAAAACCAGCGCCAGTAGATCAACAACGAGCGGATGTGACAAGCCCTAATACATTTTAATATCAAACAAGTACAAGAGACAATCTAACCATTTTGTAAAATGAACACTTTTCTGCTGATTCGAGGAGAGATACAAGAACGTCCTGTTAACAAATGGAACTTATACACTGTACTTGTTTGAATATTTTCGCATTGAAGATCACTTAATATTTTCGTATTAAAGATCACACAAGATTGACCAGGACTTGTTTAGGCTGGGTTTCTGGAGGTTAAGTTAGTGTTATATTTTTTGATCAAGATTGACCTTTAACCTTCTCATACAGGACAAATATAAGAGTGAACTATTCGTTCTTAATATTCTAAATATTACTGACCTCCATAGGTAAAAATCTACATCGAGACCCTACCTTATCATTTAAGATTACATGTCATTATTTTATTGTTGGAACATGAACAGGGTATTTTCTGAATGGTATAACTGAAAATGACTTAAAAGTGAGTCCAGATTATAATTTATTGATAAATTGAAATATGTTATCAAATGACATATTTATCATTGATCAGGCCGTTTTTTTCTCACAGTTATGAATGTGAAGCATACATATAGTTAAGACAGAAACAGTATTTCCAGGTTTGCATAAGTATAAGAAACTGAGGATTTGCCCTATTAAATATACGAAACGTATTTCAACTGAGTGGTGGAAATAACGGTCTGGTAATGAAACAAGTCGTCGACGTTTTGACATTTATATTGGAACTGCACAAACTTATAACCACATTGACACAAACTTGTAGATGTTTTACGATCTTAAATTATTTTATATGTTTTTGCATACTTTAATATGTCTGTTTTCATGTGATAAAACACATTTAATATCATTGTAACACAACTGATCATGTTTTATTACCACTGTCGTACTGTGTGACCATGTGTTAGATAACATACTCGCTATGAAAGGGAGGTGACTTCTTGAAAGGGAGGTAACCTCTCACATAAACGCCGTCCAAGGAATCTGTGATATATTTTGTATATATATATATATTAGACTTAGAAAACAAATACTATAATACATAAGTTATTGTTATGCGCCTTTACAACAGTATTACTTATATAGGTCTGTTTCGTCTAGTTTTTGTGATGTGTTTATTGTCGTATATATATACTTTCTAAATGTGTATATATAAATCTGGGACGAGACAAAAGGCTGTGTGAATGAGAATGCTCAAGGCAAATCCTAATTACAATAAATACGGTACTTGCTCAACTGTTATATATCCGTGACATTAAACGCTGCAGTGTTGTATCATCACAAAAGAGTTGTCGTTTGTTTATAAGGCAGTTTGTAGAACTTTACACAACAACAAAAGTGTTGACAGATCACTCCCTACACTAAGTCCCAATAGAGGAAATTCAACATAGCCAGTTACCAACCATCACTTCACGAACCTAAGAACAACATCAGAAAGGGTTATGTATCAACTTTGTTATGCTAAGCTATTTTGAAAAATACATGAAGTGCCTCAACAAAATATATTTTACAGGGTCAAATAAAGTTCTGTGAGAATTTGATTGGACAAAGAAGAAACACAAAATGAAAAAAATGAAGTATTCCTCTTTATTGCACAACACAGAGCATTAAGAAAAAGGACGAGAGTATAAAAAGGAGCTCAGAAGAGAAAGAAGTGTGACAAGGAAGAGAACACAGTAATCACGAAAGTACATATATAATTAAGATCAAATAAAGAAATAATGCCAAAGGAAAAAAAACGCAAAGGAATATGGAAATATATCTACGGAAAATAGAAAAGAGCAAACGCTTGTCATCATTTATACACAGAGACCTTTGGCAAAGAAACATAGGCAGAAATATATTCAACATAATTAAACAGTGTACATGTATCTGTGAATATACAAAAGCTAGAAGTGGAATATTTCAATATACATGAAGAGATCAAGAATATTTATGACGCCTAAAGGAATACAAAAGGTCGGCAGTTTACAGGGTACACGCGAGATTTGCGGAACATTTTTAGTATATTGTTCAACCTATATTCATCGAGTAAACAAAAAGCGGTATTTATAGGAAGGGAAATAACTCCTTGTAAACTACAGATAGTGATGAAGACCAATGTTAGGACGTCGAGTAAAAGGACTGCTTTTCTGTGTAAGAAATAGTACGGATTTATACAGGTAAATCAGCGAGTCTTCAACTGATTAGAGTTTTAGACAACGGCACTATACTAATAAAATATATGACCTGTAACTGAGCGAGATCGGGTTATGGTCGAGGGTTAAGATTCTGTAACAAAATCCCAACCGAGGCATAA